CTTTGGCTTGGCAAGCCCTAATGCAACAGGAAGATTAAGGAAGTCGTAAACTTAAGCAAGGAGGACGAAAGGGTAGACAGTATGCATATAATGTGTTTTTTGCTTAACATCAAAGATCTTACAACAGTAATTATATAAAAAATAAAAAGAAAAATATTTTCAATTGCCTCCGCTATGACATGGAAACTTTTACGTTTGGGAATATGGAACACGTGATGCCGTTCTATTGTTCGATGTTTTGAAAAATTCTTTTGAAACGAATGGTTAGTTTGACGATTTTTACCTGAAGAAGGACCCAAGAGGGGTCTGAAAACGTTAGTAATGTTAAATTTATTCACATCGGTTAAAGGTTTCGGAGGTACGTAGTATTTAATAAAATCTCAAATCTAAGAATATAAATTATAAAAAATATTAGGATAATTTTCTTACTTTTTTTTTTTACTTTCTCACCAATCAAGTAATAATAATATAACAAGCAAAGAACACAGTTTAAATAAAACACAATGTTTTTATTTTTCTCATCTCAATATTTCTTTTTAATATTTCAAAAAGATCTTATAAAAAATGTTCAAATAATTATGTTTGAACTATATATTAAATCTTATGAAGAAAAGCATCTAAAATATTTTACCATAAAAAGTACCTGTACCTAGAATACGTCAATTTTTATACTAACAGTATTACATGGAAATCATATAAAAGCAATTTATATATTTATTTACTTATCAACAAATCTTATATACAGTAACTGATAAAAATTAAGAAACAGAAGAGTAATTAAAATTTTACAAACATTTATCTTGTGACATTTAAATTTTCTGAAAAATCTATTTCATGTTTTATTAAAACTTTTTCTAATGATTTATTCAAGAGATTCACTATAAAATCATTTGACATTTAGATAATGATAGTATATCATAAATAAAAATTTCTTTAGCTTTGAATTCACAACAAAAAATTAAAGATATGAAATCTGTACACACAGATTAAAAGAACTATATGTACAGTTACTGTATATAAAGTTCTTTCAAGTACAATAATTAACAAAGTAGTCATTTTTGAAAACAAACTGAAAATAAAATAGCTAAAAAACTGATCATTAACTAAATTAATTTGACAGATTAAAGTTTGCTTATATCCTATCATCCTAGAAAACATAACATATGACTCATGAGAAAAGGTACATCAAATATCAGACAAAACTTGTTTCTGTAAATCAACTCTAAATTGCTGCAGAGAAGCATTATCTTAACATATTAAATTAAAATATTTTTCCCTTACCTCTTTTTCATCAGCTTCAACTGGACTTCCAACAAAAACAACTATTCTCATTTTATGATTTTTTCCTTGACGATGTTTTAGTGCCAACTAATAAATAAGTATAATTACTTTAATTATAAATAAATTATATTAAAAACTATTATATTTTATACAATCTAAATTAAGGCTTAAATTATATTCTAAACTTAAATCAAATTCACTAAAATTTGAATTTTATAATTATTCTACTATTTAATTTATTATTGTGATTTGATCTATAATTTGGCAGTGATCACTTTTGTACAATTACTAAAATATAGAAATTCAGATATTTTTGAATTAAATAATCTGCTTGAAACAGGACTTAAATCTACAATTCCTTCAAGCCAAGCAGCAATATTACAAATTAAATTATTGGCTCTCTGATTCAACCATCAACTCTAAATTTTTGTGTTTGTAGGAACTTACAATTAGTCAAACCTCTGGACAACAACCACTCATGAGAACACAAAAAATGGTTTCATTTGAACATGGTTCTTATTTGGAAATTATGTTGAATAAATCTTCCTACAAAATAAAGTTCCTAAAAAATTATTGCTATTTAAAGGTGATTGTCATTGAAAAATGGCCATTATTGAAGGTTTTTCCGTATATTGTTTAATGAATTGGTTACAATTATATTGGTTTTCAGAATCTCATTATATTGATGAAGATAGTTAACTCCCACTAAATCAATCAGACACATCAGTGTATTAGATGTTAATTTTAAATCTTTCTTATACAACTAGAAGCAAAACTGAAATTAGATATCAAAAATCATAACTAGTGATACAATTGCCAATTTTCAGTTGTTGTAAGTTTAAATCCTACTCTGATTTGATCTGAACATTTCTGAGTTAAATAATAATTAGAACTTAATTTCAAATATATGTAAATATAATTAATATTTATATATATTACATATCTAGGTCAAATTACAATAATAAGTAATTTAACAATCACAGTCCAAAAATCATTATTTATATTATTTGATAAATTAATATTTAAATAAATCATTTTCTAGTTACAAAGTTAATCTTTTAAATTCATGTTTTACTTTATTTATTTACTATACATAATTTCTTTGATAATGTATGTCATATTTTAATTCATTTTTAAAATGTCATAAATTTTGCTAGAGTAATTTTTCAAATTTATAAATAATTTTTACAATGAATTTCTCTCTTACTTCAAGTAAAAAAGTGATAGTTTATACAACATTTATTTTTTTTAAATTAATTTAAAATTACAAAAGTTTATTAATTTCTAATATGTAATTTTATTGCTTATCCAAAAAAGATGAGAAAAAATAATTAACTCTGGNAAACAGAAGAGTAATTAAAATTTTACAAACATTTATCTTGTGACATTTAAATTTTCTGAAAAATCTATTTCATGTTTTATTAAAACTTTTTCTAATGATTTATTCAAGAGATTCACTATAAAATCATTTGACATTTAGATAATGATAGTATATCATAAATAAAAATTTCTTTAGCTTTGAATTCACAACAAAAAATTAAAGTTATGAAATCTGCACACACAGATTAAAAGAACTATATGTACAGTTACTGTATATAAAGTTCTTTCAAGTACAATAATTAACAAAGTAGTCATTTTTGAAAACAAACTGAAAATAAAATAGCTAAAAAACTGATCATTAACTAAATCAATTTGACAGATTAAAGTTTGCTTATATCCTATCATCCTAGAAAACATAACATATGACTCATGAGAAAAGGTACATCAAATATCAGACAAAACTTGTTTCTGTAAATCAACTCTAAATTGCTGCAGAGAAGCATTATCTTAACATATTAAATTAAAATATTTTTCCCTTACCTCTTTTTCATCAGCTTCAACTGGACTTCCAACAAAAACAACTATTCTCATTTTATGATTTTTTCCTTGACGATGTTTTAGTGCCAACTAATAAATAAGTATAATTACTTTAATTATAAATAAATTATATTAAAAACTATTATATTTTATACAATCTAAATTAAGGCTTAAATTATATTCTAAACTTAAATCAAATTCACTAAAATTTGAATTTTATAATTATTCTACTATTTAATTTATTATTGTGATTTGATCTATAATTTGGCAGTGATCACTTTTGTACAATTACTAAAATATAGAAATTCAGATATTTTTGAATTAAATAATCTGCTTGAAACAGGACTTAAATCTACAATTCCTTCAAGCCAAGCAGCAATATTACAAATTAAATTATTGGCTCTCTGATTCAACCATCAACTCTAAATTTTTGTGTTTGTAGGAACTTACAATTAGTCAAACCTCTGGACAACAACCACTCATGAGAACACAAAAAATGGTTTCATTTGAACATGGTTCTTATTTGGAAATTATGTTGAATAAATCTTCCTACAAAATAAAGTTCCTAAAAAATTATTGCTATTTAGAGGTGATTGTCATTGAAAAATGGCCATTATTGAAGGTTTTTCCGTATATTGTTTAATGAATTGGTTACAATTATATTGGTTTTCAAAATCTCATTATATTGATGAAGATAGTTAACTCCCACTAAATCAATCAGACACATCAGTGTATTAGATGTTAATTTTAAATCTTTCTTATACAACTAGAAGCAAAACTGAAATTAGATATCAAAAATCATAACTAGTGATACAATTGCCAATTTTCAGTTGTTGTAAGTTTAAATCCTACTCTGATTTGATCTGAACATTTCTGAGTTAAATAATAATTAGAACTTAATTTCAAATATATGTAAATATAATTAATATTTATATATATTACATATCTAGGTCAAATTACAATAATAAGTCATATAANTTGTATACCGAGGTTCCACTGTACTCAATTTCACATATTTTTACATCACAACATTACTATACAAAATAAAAGATATCCCATTGCTCTCACTGTCTAATACCTTATAAATTAAATTATTTTCTTTAATTCTTAAAAATCAAACATAACATTCTATTTTAGCATACATTTGTGTATATATATAAAAATGGACGTGTATGTCCCTATATTTCACTTTTTCACCAAAACTACACATCGCACGTGAATGGTGTTTGTTATGTGGTAGTAGCCCCAAGTCTCCATTCGTGCATTATGGTGGTTGCGTCTCGATAGCTATAAGGGTGCAGGAGATATGGGAGCTTAAAGTGGTTGACTTCGAAGATTTTCTATTTCGATTTTATTTTAAAAATGTTCGAACCGTTTTAAATTTGAATTTGTTCGATTATAGAACGATTGTAAACGTTCCAGAAAATTGATCAAATTGAAAATAGTTCTTCTGTTTGACTGGACGTGAACAGGAGACGTTCTGTCTGGAAATGGGGAACCTAATTCTTGCATTCTGTAAAAACGGTTAAGATTGTCTATAATGTAATTATCTTAATCTTCACTATCGTTACTTTTTGCCCAACGAAGCGGGTCCTTGCAGCTAGATTTCTTACCAAAAAAAAATTTTTTTTTCCTAAATAATTATGTAAACTTTGGTATATATTCAAATATCTTAAAAGTAACTGTAACTAAATTCAGAAACTTAGCAGTTATTTTCAAAATTTCAAACTCTCAGAATTTTGTCTGCTGATACTGAATGGACTAAATTAATTCTGAAAGAAAAATTATTTTGATTTTTTGAACTTTGTAGTTACTTTCAAGATACAGTAAGACCTTGTTTAGTGCTTCTTCAATTAACACTGATTCGATATAATGTGGTCTGCTTGAAGCCTAAGAAAAAGCTCAAAATTTATGCTAATTCAAATTAACACAGCATTTCACTGATTCGTATATAATAAAGATTATTCCTGAACAAGAACCAATCAGCAAAAGATGGCAATTTGTCATAGCACTGTATTTCCCCTAAATCTATGTTTGTTTGGTGCAATTTTGAAAAAAATATATACATCATGGATGCCATAGACAATATAGATTTCACTTGGCAAGAATTAACTGATAAATGCATGAACAAAGTATGGAAGAAGTCATGGACAGAGTTATCCATGAAGTCTCAATGAGAAGAGTCTATTGTTGATCAAATTGTCAACCTAATTGATACAGCAAGACTAGGAGATGTAGACAAGCAGGATATTGAGGAGTTACTGCAGGTTTCCAGTGAGAGCCTTACCAACAATGATATTCAAGAGCTGGCAGAACAAGGAATTTGTATAGAACTGAAAATAGTAATTCTTAAAACGAAGAACTTACAGAATTTCTCTACAGATTTCCTTAGTAAAAGTTTGGTAACAATAACTGAAATTGTTGCTCAAATTGTAGTGAATGATCCAGATTTTGAAAGGAGTACAAAAGCAAAACGAGCCATTTTGGATGCAATCTTCTGCTACCAACATTTGCTTAAGGAAAAAAAAAAAAAGCAATAAATGAAACTACACGACTTTATCGCAGAAAACAAGAATTTCAGAAAAGCTAAAACCTTCATCACAAAAAATGAACTTTATATTTCTGTGTGCGTATGTTTGTGTGTTATTTAATATATATTATGATGCAGATTAATATAACATTAACTTTAGTCCTGACAAAATTATTTCAAAAATGTTAGAAATAAGAAATTAATATAAAAGCAATCGCAAATGTGCCTGTGTGTGTTAAATTTTAAATATTTTGGTAAATGGTGTATTTTAAATAGCTAATTAATTAATTATTTGATTTTCCTTTAATTAATTAATTAATTAAAAGAAAATCAAATTTTGCAAGTATACAAATGGGAAAAAATACTGAACTTAAAACAGCTTATGTTTATCAATTTTCAAAATCACAATTATTTTGTGTCATTTTTTTTATTGATAATGTAATTCATTATAAATACTCAGAATTTTTAGTAATTATTTACTTTCTTAATCTATTGCCTTTTAAAAAAGTCAACAAACTCATTTATTTATTGAACAAACAAACTAGAAGTATAAGAAATTCTTTAAAGTTTCATTTAATATTTTAAAATCTTGCCCTAATTAGTTTAAGATAATAGTTAACTTTAATAATCATTATGTTTTTAAATATAAATATTTAAGAAGCAATATTCACATCAAAAATTAAGTTAATATTTATGAACCTTTGAAATTTGTAACTTAAAATATTAGGTTAAATAAAAATAGTATTTTATATACTATATATATATATATATATACCTATTAT